AACCCAAAACACCAATAGTGACAACGTTGACAAAACTCTTCAAGGGAAACCCATTAGCACGATGTCAGTACTTAAGGAAACCAAACTCAAACCCACTGCATCAAGTGGATTCTGAGTCATAGTAACCTTACGTAAGGTTTCCATTAGCACGATGTCAGTACTTAAGGAAACCAAACTTAAACCCACTGCATCAAGTGGATTCTGAGTCATAGTAACCTTACGTAAGGTTTCCAAGGCTGTTCATAATTTAAGGAGCAGAATGCCTCATATTTCTCCTGTGGAACAACTGGTGGATTTGAACTGCTAATCTTATGGTTACAACCCAGTGTGTAATCCACTACACTACCATGGCTCCTTATGTAAAGGAAGAAGGTGGGAGAAGGGGAGAAGGGGAAGATGAAGAAGACATTGTCATCAAGTTGATCCCAACTCATGGTAATTCCATATGTGTCAGGTAGAACTGTGCTCCTCCAGAGGTTTTCCATTGTTGCTTTGATCCTTTTTTTAAAAAACAGATTACCAGGCTTTTGTTTCATCATTCCACTGTGTGAATTGAAACCACTGTCTTTCAGTTAGTAATTGAGTGTAAACTATTTAGGTCACCCAGATGCAGCCTGGTATATAGTAAATGCCTAACAGAAATCAGCCCTCCTTTCTTCCCAGAGTGAGAAGAGAAGACCAATACATGGTCCATTTGAAAATCCTTTCACAAGGTGAAGGACTGTTTGACTATGAGTTGGTCCCAAAGAATAAGGACTCAACAACCAACCCTTCCATGTACAGAGATGTGGAAATGGTACAATTCTCCAGGAATTTAAGCTGAGGCTGATCTTAATCATCTTTACTTTATATTTGGAAATGCCATCCCTCAGAGAAATCTCTAAATGCCTATACAATATAAGGCTCATCTCTGCTGAAAACTCAAGTCAACAGAATGAGGGGCATTCTAGAGGTTTCTTAAAGGTCGGAAGACTGATGGGTTTCATGTAAAGGGCTTCTCTACTTTGACACTATCAACATTGGGCTGGGTCATTATTTGCTGTGGAGGCGTGTGCTTGAGTCCACCCATAAGTGCCTCAAAAGAAAAACCTGGTGATCTGCTTCCAAAAAAAACCCAGCCATTGAAAAGCCTAGAGAGCACAGTTCTATGCTGACTCTCATGGGGTCACCATAACTTCACAGAAATTGGATTTGTGTTGTTGTTGCAGATGAGGCAAGTGAGTCCCAGAGGTGAAATAACTTGCCCAGGTTCACAAGGCCAGACTGCTGCTAAGTTGGCACTCAAATCCGATATAAACCTTCCTTTCTCTGTCTGCCTGGGAAATGATACCTGATTTTCAAAACTCAGCTCAAAGGTGTTCCCATCTGCGAAGGCTTTTCCGACTCCCTAGGCAGAATTGGGCTCCCCCTGGGCATCCTCACACCATGTATGTGTCTCTGTTGCACCCCTTTTCACATTGTTCCCAAGTGATTGCTTACCTACTTGCATCTCCCACCAAATGTGAGCAATGCTGAAGGTCCTGTCTCCAACTCACACATCATCGGTGGAAAGACAGACACTATTCATAAAGCAAGTCCCTGGGAGGCACAAAGTTTGCACTCAGCTGCAATCTAAAGGTTGGTTGGTCCAACCCACACAGCAGAACCATGGAAGAAAGACTGGATAATTTGCTTCAATTAAGATTACAGTCAAAGTGTACTGCAGAGCAGTCCTGCTCTAAGACTTATTGGAGTCACTGTGAATTTGAATCAACTCGAGGGCAACAGGTTTGGGCTGGGAGTGGGAGGGTGTTGGCCATGACTCTCTTCATTCCTTAACTGATCTGTCTGATTTTCATCTACTACAGGTAGAATGAGATAATTAGTTCTATTCTTCTCAATCTGCTAGATTTTGAGGGAGCTCTCACCCTTCCAGAGAGTTTTCCCTCAAACAAGTCATCCAAAGGTGTTTGCACTGGTGAGTTTTTGTAAGATCACGCTGATTTTTTTTTAACATTTCTGTGAGAAAGTATCTGGTTTGTCATCTGTCTCTCCAGTGAAATTGTGTCTGTCATGAAAACAAGGATTTCCTTATCGTTTCCACCACCAGGTCTCTTATTCCACTTGTAGGGATGAACATTTAGGAGGAGCTTAATTAATTTTTACTGAATGAAAAAGTAAACATTGGAACATTTATGTGATGAGAAACCAGGATGGTAAGTAATTTAGATAGATAATAGATAGACTGATAGATTGATTGATAGATTTATAGACAGATAGATAGAATTCTGATGTGACCAGGTCTCTTATTCCACTTGTAGGGATGAACATTTAGGAGGAGCTTAATTAATTTTTACTGAATGAAAAAGTAAACATTGGAACATTTATGTGATGAGAAACCAGGATGGTAAGTAATTTAGATAGATAATAGATAGACTGATAGATTGATTGATAGATTTATAGACAGATAGATAGAATTCTGATGTGGATAGATAGATAGATAGATTGGTTGATAGATTTATAGACAGATAGATAGAATTCTGATGTGACACTGTAGGATAAGCACTGTACCACAAGGTTGGTTTGAATTGCAAGGTTGGCTGTTCAAATTTATCAGCTGCTCCTCACAAACCTTATACAGGGTCGCTGTGAGTCTAAACTAATTCGATGACACAATAGATAGGTAGGTAGGTAGGAAGGGAGAGAGAGAGAGAGAGATGCTGATGAATTAACTCAGACTCATGGTGACCTTGTGTACAATAGAATGAAACACTACCCAATCCTGTATTCTCTCCATCACCAGCATGTCTATCTATGACTGTTGTGCCAATCCATCGTCCTCACCTTCACTGGCCCTCTACTTCACCAAACATGATATCCTCCTCCAGTGATGGATTCTTTCTAACGACGTGTCTAAGACAAGCAGGCTGGGATCCCTAAAGTTTTCATTGACTCACTTTCAAAAGGATATTACCAAACTTTTCTCCCTAGTCAGACTTAGTCTGGAAGCTCAGTTGAAACCTGTCCACCATGAGTGACCCTGCTGGTATTTGAAATACTGGTGGCATAGTTTCCAGTATCACAACAGCATGCAAACCACCACAGTACAATGAACTGAGAAATGGGTGGTGGTCAATAAGTGAATGTCTGAAATGTCAGCCTTAGGGTAGTGTTGAAGTGGGGAAAACAAAAAGATTGAGGTACGGAAGAATAGCCAGATGTTAGGCAAGAGTAAAAGGTTGACCAAAGCTCAGGATTCGAGGTGAAGTAGATGATCAGGGCAAAGAAGAGCCTTATGAGATAGATTAGCACAGTTGCCACAACAGTTGAAAGATATCCAAGATACGCATCATCAATGGTTTAGATACCAGTGTGTCTCCAGTGGACACACACACACCCATTAACCTTTCTAAGTACCCAGGCAGCCCAACTCCTTGGGCATCTGGTAAAGTAGACCTCTTGTGGACCTCTCCAAGGTAGAAATCTACTGGTCTTACAAAGCCAGCTCTTCTAACTCTCTGTTGATGGTGACAGATGCCCCTTTGGCCAAGATGTCCTCCTCAATGTTGGAGATAATGTATTGAAAACAATATTCTGAGATTGAAACCTGGCAAGATTAGTTTGACTGGCAGAGTGAGGTTGACAGTATTCTTAGCTAAGTGGGGACAATCCCTCCCGATCCTTAGGTCATCTTCCTTGCCTCTCATTCATTTTTTCAGCAGATTTTTACTGAGCATCTAATACATGCTATGCATAAGGTGCTCCACTCCCATCTTACAAAATCAAGCTCCAAACAGATGACTGATATTCAGGATAACTTGTCACCTACCTCTTCAGACCATTGTTTCAAGCTCTATCACATATGCCACAGTATAGACATCTTGGGTCACATCCTAAATGTCACATCCCTCTTTGACTCTTACCAAACCTTGTTCTCTTCCCTTCTCTCTTCTCAGAATTTAGAAACAAGCTTTTCCTTGTGGCTTTTGACTTAATTTTTAATTCAGTCCCATCTCCCCTGTCATCTTGGACAAGGACTCCCAACTTCATATCCCTATGTCTTTGGAATCCCACCACTGTGTTTCACCCAAGGCATCTGAGTGAGGCATATTCTGACACACCACTGGAGCCATCTTTTGTTCTCTAGCTTGGGAACAGAAAGGTTTACTACAAGTGTTGGTTAGTTGTGCTTGCCTATAGGGTGAAGGCAAGACCTTAACTCAGAAGTGACAAAAATGGAGCATCATTGTACTTCTCCCCATCTCCTGACCACAGCAGACATAAGAAATCAATCATGGCATTTTTTCTCATTGAACCTGGATTTGGCTCATCATCCTTCTCAAAACTCCAGACAACCATGACCAAACCATTGCATGTGGTGTATGTCTTAGTTCCCTAGTGCTGGTATATCAGAAACAATGCAAGTGGGCATCTATAACAAACAGAAGTCTACTTTCTTACAGTTTAGGAGGCTAGACATCTGAATTCAGGGTATCAGCTCTAGAGGAAGGCTTTCTCTGTCCATTCTGGGGGGAAATGGTTGTCTCTTTAAGCATCTCTTCCTCAGATCCTTGGTGATCTCCATGTGGCATCAGTCTTTCTCCATTTGTACTTCCTTACTTCTGTACCTAATCTGCTCTTGTTAGATATCAAAAGTGATTGGTTTACCATTTGTCTCACAATAATATGGCTTCGCTAACACAACAAAGTGAACCTGTAGACGCAGTACCTGGGATTGCATCCACAGGTATTGTTGTTGTTAAGTGACAAAACCCTGTATAGGGTTTCTGAGGAGTGACTGGTGAACTTGAACAGCCAACCTTGTGGTTCAAACTGACCTTGCAGTCCAGCGCATTAACACAACCAGGTCTCAGGGCTTAGGATTTACAACACATTTAGGGGTGGAGGGGGACACAATTCAACCATAACCTGTATGTAAGATGAAGCTCACTTAGCATCTCCACTGAGACTCCTCACCAAAGGTCCTGCTCTTCCCGCAGATGAATGAGGTCTCCTGGAGAATGGGGAAAGCAAATCACTCAGTCACCTCAGACTTCATTCTTGTGGGGCTTTTCAGTCACTCAGGGCCACATCTGCTCCTCTATTCCCTTGTGACCACCATGTTCACCATGGGCCTGCTGGGTAACACCATCCTGATCTGCCTGATCCGCACAGACTCCCGGCTCTACACACCCATGTACTTCCTACTTAGCCAGCTCTCCCTGTTGGACATTGGTTTTCTCCTAGTCACCATCCCAAAGATGGCAGCCAACTTCATGCAGGGAAAGGAATCCATCTCCTTTGGGGGCTGTGCAGCTCAGATGTTCTTCCTGATGCTGATGGGAGTCTCTGAGGGTGTCCTTCTGTCCCTCATGTCCTATGACCGCTACATTGCTGTTTGCCACCCACTGCATTACCCTGTGCTTATGAGACACCAGGTGTGCCTGCTCATGGTGGGCACCTCCTGGATGTCCGGAGTACTTGTTGCCACCGTCCAGACCTCCATTACCCTGCACTTTCCTTTCTGTGCCTCCCGCACTGTGGACCACTTCTTCTGTGAGCTCCCTGCTCTGTTGAAGCTCTCCTGTGAAAACACATCTACCTATGAGTTGACACTGTCCATCTCAGGGGTGCTGATCTTGCTGTTGCCCATGTCACTCATTGCCACCTCCTACAGCCATGTGTTGGCAGCCGTCCTCCGCATGCGCTCAGCAGAGGCCAGACAAAAGGCCTTCACCACCTGCTCTTCACACATCACTGTGGTGGGGCTCTTTTATGGGGCGGCCGTGTTCATGTACATGGTACCAGGCACCTACCACAGCCCACAGCAGGACAATGTGGTCTCTCTTTTCTACAGTCTAGTCACCCCAACACTCAACCCCCTTATCTACAGCTTGAGGAATAGAGAAGTACGGGTAGCTTTGGTCAAGGTCCTTGAAAGAGCTGGCTTCAGATCTAAGAGATGATGTCAGAGAGAGGGAGTGGACTGTCCCAGAGACCCTATCTGAGACCTGTCTTGAAAGTACTCATTTGCAGTCCACCTGGTCCAACACTTACTACCTGACCAACTTTATCCCTCCTCTGAGACTTGATTTTCTTTATACATTTGTAGAAACCCTTAATGATCCTAATCACTTAAACAAGAGGAGGGCTTTTGTTTTCAGTTTTCAACAAAAGTCATTTCTTTTTTACTACAAGAATGCCACACCCGAAGCATCCAGCTGATCTTCAGTGAGGGGAGAGGCACAAGAATGCCCATACTTGCTGATAATACCCATTTGACCTAGCTTCAAGGGCTGTATGATCAGAACTCTACCAGAGGAAGAAAGAAGAGAAAAAAAGTATAATCTGCTACAATTTTATGAACTTGACCTATACTTATGGATGTAGTAGCTTAAAAGAGGGAGCGAATCTTTACAGCAAGGATCATTCCCACCCCCTCTGTACACAGGGTTGACAGAGATGGGCAACTTAGACATTGGCTACCCAAAATGTTGGGGGCAACAAAGGCACAAAGTGACTGACTTACAAGTTTTCAAGAGGGAGCTTAATTTCAGAAGGTGCGGGGGAAGGTAGAATCTCCACTGAGTGGTTTCCAACCTGTCTAGATGGGACTGGCGAAAGGAGATGAGGATAAGACTCTTGTGGTTCAATAGTGAATAATTGTTATCAGGACTGATGGTGAATGTTGCAAATGTAGAGGTAGACATTTTGTAACAAAAGCAGGGGAGTAGTTGATCTTGCAATCCAGGAGTGGAAGACCCTGGAACCATCAAGGGAGAAGAGCAGAATGCAGAACCCTATCCAGAGAAGCAGCGACAACAGAGATGGAGGCAGAGACAATGACGTGGAGAAATTGAGCGGCTGGGGACTCTAGAGTCAAGGAGGGAGAGGGGTTCTGTGCTGGTGTCCAGGGGGCTGGCATGCAAGGTATACCCTTCAGTTGTCTGAATGTTTATATATTCCTGAGTGCTTCAGTGTACATTTTATATATGTGTGTGTGTGTGTGTGTGTGTGTGTATACAGACGGATTGGAAGCAAATGCTGTTGAATGATGATGTATGGAGGGATCGTAATCATTGCAATGAAATGAAATATGATAAGATGGCTGTAAAGCTGATGCTCTCCCATGTAAACTACCACTCAATTCACAATAAAAAAAAATAAAAAAATAAAAACTTTTTTAAAAAGGGGGGTGGGGCAACACTTTCCTAAGGACAAAGTTAAGAAGGGACAAGAAGGTGGGTGAAATGCAAATAAGAACCGCAGGGAGGAGGCTGGATAATTGTTGCATGGAAGAGATTGCAGTCATTAAGATGAAACAAAGTGTATGATTTCTTTAATGTAAAGCTGATGGTCTGGTTTGTAAATCTTCACTCCATTCACAATAAAAAGTTAAAAGAAAAAAAAGAAGAATGTCACACCCAACCACAATGATGGATCCCAGCTAGTGCAAATGATTAAGTGCTTGAATAATTGAGAAAGGTTAGTGGTTCAAGTTCACCGAAAGGCACCTCAGAAAAAAGGCCTGGAAATCTATTTCCAAAAAAAGCCATTGACCCTGGTGGAGACCTGGTAGGCCAGCAGTGTGGCAAGACCTGGGGACTCCTGGGCCCAGAGTCAGTGACATAGCCACAGAGGACTAGAGTGGAGAATAAAGCATCCAGCTGATAAGAAGAGAGGGCATATGCACAAGAACACCCACACTGGCAGATAATACCCACTTGACCTGGCTTCAATGGCTGGATGATCAGAGCTCAACCAGAAGAAGAAAGAAGAGGAAAAAAAGAGTAATCTGATACAATTTGATGACCTTGACGTACACCTATGGATGCAGTAGCTCAAAACAGGGAACAAATCTTTATAGTGAGGATCATTCCCACCTCCTTCATACACAGAGTAGACAGGGATGGGCAACTTGGACATTGGCTATCCAAAATGGGGGACTACGAAGGCAAGAAGTAACTGGCTTACAAGCTTTTCAAGAGGGAGCCTAGATCCAGAAGGCGTGGAGGAAGGTAGAATCTCCACTGAGTATTATACAATCTGTCTGAGCGGCTGATGAATGGAAATGTGGATAGGTTTCTTGTAATACAATAGTGAATAATTGTTATCAGGACTGATTGTGAGGGTTGTAAATGTAAAGGTAGATGTTTTGTAGCAAAGAGGGGAGTGATTAACTTTTCAGTCTAGGAGCGGAGGTTCCTGGGACCATCAAGGGAGAAGAGCCGAGAGCGGGACCCTACCCAGAGAAGCAGTGATGCCTGAGATGGAGGCTGAGACGATGACGTGGAGAGATGGAGCTGTTGGGGACTTTAGACACAGAGAGGGAGAGGGGCTGTGTGCTGACAACCAGGGCAGGCTTGTAGGGTATACCCTATGGTTGGTTGATGATGCATGGAAGGGATTGTAACCATGGCAATGAAATGATATATGATAGGATGAATGTAAAACTAATGTTCTCCCATGTACACTATCACATAATTCTCAATGAAACATTAAAAAAAAAAAAAAAAGTCATTGAATATGCTGTGAAGCACACCTCTACTCTGCACCATGAATTGGCTCAGTGGCAACTAACTACAACAGCATGATGCCCTGTCTTACACTCCATTCACAAGCATTTCTGCACAGAGTGATGTGTCTGGGATCCAAACACTAAAAGTGAAGCAAGAAAGGGGGCCCAGGTCTGATCATGATGGACCATGGTTCTAGGATCCATGTCCCTGATGGTTCTTGGAAGTGTTTTTGTTTGGGTCAGACTTGTACTTTTTACAGAAAAGGGAGACTGTCACTCAAAATTTACAGTGGGATAGAGGAAAAAGTGCATGCTCACTGGGGAAAATAAAATAAAAATATTTTAAGGTGTAATTTCTATTGCTCTTTTATTAAAAATATCTAGCACATAATAAAAAATGTACAAGGCAGGCAAAAAAGCAGGGGAAAATTAGGAGAAGCAGATCTACAGATGACCTAGATGGACTAAGCAGACAAGGACTATTAGAAAAATTCATAGAAATAAAAGAATAAAATGGGTGGATTTCAGCTGAGAAATTAAAGCTCTGAAAGGAACCAAATGGAAATTGTAGAAATGAAAAGCTATCATATATAAAATGAAGCATTATTGGCTGTAGTAGCAGCAAAAGAAAGAATTCGAGAAGCTGGGTTCTATGAAGAAAAACGTGGCATCAGGATTGGAGGAAGACTCATTAACAACCTACAATATGCAGATGATACAGCCTTTCTTGCTGAAAGTGAA